GTATTCGTTGTTTCTGTGATAGATCATTTAGTATGATAGTCTCCAACTCCATCCAATTTGTTGCAAAGTCCATGATTTTGTTCTTTATGGTTGCATAATACTCCACTGTGTATATGTACCACATTTTCTTTATCCAGGGCACTTTTGAGGAGCAGTAGAGTTGGCTCCATGTTTTTGCTATCATGAATAGTACAGCAACAAACGTGTGTAGCTGTCTTTTTTGTAGAACAATTTGTGTTCCTCCAGGTATATTCCCAGGAGGAGTATTGCCAGAACATATGGAGGGTCAATTATTAGTTCTTTTTTGTTTTATATTTTTGACTTTTTTTTTTCTTTCTTTTTAAGTGAGAAAGCAGAATTTATTGAGAGGACAGAGAAGCTCCCTCGGTGGGAGGGGACCCGAAGGGGTTGCCCCTTTTTTGACTTATTAATGATGGTCCTCCTTACCAGAGTTAGGCGGTATCTCACTGTAATTTTGATTTGCATTTCTCTGGTGAATAGTGAGGCTGAGCATTTTTTCATGTGTGTCTGCTGGCTCCTTGTATGTCTTCTCTTGAGAAGTGTCTGTTCATGTCTTTTGCCCTTTTTTCAGTAGGGTTTTTTTTTTTCCTTTTATTTAGTTCGAGTTCCTTGTAGATCATAGATGTTAGGTCTTTGTCAGATGCATAATTTGCAAATATTTTCTCCCATTCTGAGGGTTATCTCTTTACTCTCCTAATGGTTTCTTTTGCTGTGCAAAAACTTCTGTTTGATGAGGTCCCACTTGTCTATCTTAGCTTTATAGCATTCGCTTTTGGGGACTTGGTCAAGAATTTGTTGCCTACTCTGATGTGCATAAAAGTGTTTCCTATGTTTTCTTCTAGGATTCTTATTATTTGAGGTTTTATGTTTAGGTCTTTAATCCATTTTGAGTTGATTTTTGTATATGGTGATAGGTAAGGGGTCCAGTTTCATTCTTCTGCATGTAATCAACCAATTTTTCCCAGCACCATTTGCTAATGCATTTCTTTGATTAATGAGGTTTTCATCTTTGTTTTTTTACTATTTGAGATTTTTCCTTTATGATTTTCAAATCTATTGACATACTTTGTCCATTATTCTTATTGGGATATTCTTAGAGATTTGTAAAAACTCTTTATATAGTAGAGAGATATGTCATGTACCAAAATTTTTTGTTCCAGTTCTGGCCCTGTTGTCATGCTTGCAACATGACAACAAAATCATTAAAAGAAATCTTTGCTATTTACACACACACACACACACACACACACACACACACCAAGAATGATATATCTATAACTTAGGAAAACCAAAACTATTCACTTGAGCAAAGATAGTATGTAGTAATATTGATATTCTAACAATTATGAAAGCTTTCCACTCGTGGTGTACCAACTGGACACAGAAAAGAATGGTACTAGATTTCCACTGTACTAGGTTATTTCTACTTTCATTTTTCCACTAAAGAAAACAAAGGAGGACAAGCTACTACAGCCTCCTTCCTTAAAATAAAGTAACAATACCAACTGACTCTGCAAGTTTTGATACCAGAAGGAGAGACAGCTAATACTCAGTTATTATATACACAGTTAATCTGGTCTATTCAAATGTATCACTGCATGAGCAGTAATACAGATGTATGTTTTCTCTATCATCAGGAAACAAAATGGGAATGGAGTACACTTTGGTTAAAAAAAAAAAATGCTCACTTCTCCAGCTACAAGACAATTATTATTATTTTTTTTTTGAGTTGGAGTCTCACTCTGTTGCCCAGACAGGAGTGCAGTGGCTGCTCCCAGCCACCGCAGCCTCGACTTGCTGGGCTCCGGCGATCCTTCTGCCTCAGCCTTCCAAGTAGCTGGAACTACAGGTGCGCGCTACCACACCCGGCTAATTTTTTGATTTATTGTAGAGATGAGGTCTCACCAAGTTGCCTAGGCGGGTCTCGAACCCGCAGGCTCTAGCAATCCGCTCACCTCAGCCTCTCAAGGCGCGGGGGCTTACAGGCTGAGCCACCGAGTCCGGCTTACAAGACAATTATTAAATTCATTGTTAAGTGGCTAAACCAGCTGGAGAACAATACTGATAATTAGCAATCAGTCCACAAGGGATAGCCCTCCCCCTTTTTTCCCCCCATAAATGCCACAAGGACAACCCAATACACACATTCACAACCCCTTCTCCTTGCCTGTTCTACCTGATGTGGCAATGTGACATGGTTCTCAACAGTGAAATACAAGTTTGCTGAGGGGAATTCTGGGGAAGCATTTACTTTTCTAGAAAAAACAAAACAAATTGAAAAAAAAAAAGACATGTCTGGCACACTACTATCCTGAATGCATGTTTAATGGCTTAAGCTGCAGCAGCCATCTTGGGACCACAGAGGAAAGACCACAAGATGTTGGCCCTAATACCACGAGAAGGAAAAGTCATTGCCAACAATTGCCTACCATCCCTAGAATTATCCTGTCAAAAAACAAACTTCCATTTACTTATGCCTCTGTGGTAAGGTTTACTGTTTCTTCCAGACCAAGCCCAAATTAATCTTAATAGTCATTTTCAAGTAATTTTATACAATCCTGGAAAAACCTAAGTGTTCTGAGGTATTAGGTGATTCAACAAAAATCTCAACAAACAATAGCAGAAAGTTGATTTCTAAATGATTTCGTAGAACTGTATTCAAAAGATGCCACTAATATTTAAATATGGTTTCATTTTATGCCTGGGATAATAATGTAACATTGAAGGGTTTGGTTTAATTCTCAACATCTAGTTTTCCTTTCATATTGATGTAATGTTTCCATGTTATCCTGACAGCGAATCTAACGTGTACACACTACTCTGCAATTTTTAAACAGACTAGATCCAGAAATAAACAACAATAACAAAAACCCAGCAACACATAGGTATTCACTTGTAAAATACAGGAGAGTAGATGAGGTCACAGAGACAAACATAAATGTACTCAGAGCCATGCATGAGCAGTTTTGTACTCAAAGCACTCAAAAAGTAAGTAAAAACTAATAATAGTATTTGTCCAAACTTGCAAATCTGCCACTTTTCAGGCAGAGCAGGAGGGGGGATCTGATGGTGCTTGGCAGCAAACTAAATACTCTCATATAAAAAGGTTATATGTAGTTTGAGGGATAAAACTGGCAAAAACCACCTGTGCCTACTAATAATTTCACTTGGTAACTATTTATGTTTAAAAATGCCTACCACAGCATTATTTATACCAATGACAATAGTAATTTAAATGTGCAATGATCAGTGAATGGCTAAATAAATATTATACAAACATTATATCGTCATTTAACATTTTTGAATTATTTTAACGACAGGAAAATGTTCATAGTACACAAAATGTTTACAGAATATAATTTCAACTATATATATATATTTTTTTTTTAAAAAAAACAAGAACACACTAAAAGGGAACTCATAGAAGCTGAAAAGAAGTATTCCGAGATGTCAACAGTGGCTGCTTCTGTGTATGTGTGTATGTTCACAGATACACTTCCTAGCTCTCTATGCTGAGAGGTATAGTAATAGCGAGCACCCCAGAACCTAGATCTTAGCTTCTAAATACCATAATCCACTTAAAAGAGCCAGGGCTCCTTCAAAAAAGATTGATTCCAGGGCTAGGACAGAGAAGATATAAGATGAGCCTCAAACATCTTGTGCCATAAAGTCAGGAAGTAAGGAAAGAGTGACTGGTGACTGGGACAACTCAAGAGGACACAGTCAGTTTGAAGGAGCTCCCACTAATCTGGAACAATTTTAACATCAAAATAAAAATAACCCATTCAATAAAATAGGAAAGCATGAGTCCATATCAGCATAAATAAATAAATGCTAAATAACTGAGGGAGAATGGGAAGCTCTTCATTATAATAGAATGCCAGTTAATAAATATAGAAGAGTCCAGGTTCAGGGACTCACGTCTGTAATCCCAGCACTTTGGGAAGCTAATGCAGGAGGACCACTTGAGCCCAGGGGTTCAAGTCCAGCCTGCGCAACACAGCAAGACCTCACTGCTACCAAAAAAAAAAAAAAAAAAAGGTCAAAAAATTAGTTAGGTGTGATGGTGCATGGCTGTAGTCCCAGCTACTCAAGAGGCTGAGGCAGGAGGATTATGTGAGCCCAGGAGGTCAAGGCTGCGATGAGCCATGATCATGCCACTGCACTCTAGACTAGGTGATAGAGTGAGACCCTGAGTAAAAAAAGGTAAATAAACAAAGAATAAATTATTATTATTATTATTTTGAGTTGGGGGTCTCACTCTGTCTCCCAGGCTGGAATACAGTGGCATGACCACAACTGAATGCAGCCTCAAATTCCTGAGCTCAGGTAATCCTTCTACCTCAGCCTCCCAAGTAGCTGAGACTACAGACACACAACACCACGCCTGGTTAATTTTTTAATTTTCTGTAGAGATGAGGTCTCACTAGAAGAAATTATTCTTTAAAAAAAAGGTTATCTCTGAATTGTAATGAGTATACATTTTTTTCTTAATATATTTCTATCTTGTTTCAGCTTTATAAAATGAGCATATACTTCGTTTGTGAAAACACTCATAATCCGCAACAGCCTCAACAAACACAACATACATGCATCTGTAGAGCAATATCAAGAGTCAATCTAGAGTCACTTTAAAAAGGAAAACATAAGTACAAAATTCCCAAACACAACAAGCACATGTGCCACCCTGACCCTCTGTCCTTCAGACAAGTTCAGATATCTTAGGCAAGTGGGTTAAAGTTAAAAACAAAACAAAACAGAACAGGAAAAACAAACCACCAAAGGCAGCACTAGTATTTACAAAAATTTTTGATTTTGTTTTATAGTAATTATGGGAGTGAAGAGATGTGACCCCACTATGATGCCAATGATTAATGGTTAACTGATAAGAAGAAATGGAGAGGGCGACAGGCTGTAGAACAGGTCAATATCAGGCTGTCGTAAGGCCATTTGAGACATATAATTAATCTATTACTCACCTGGCATCATCATTCATTGTAGTATGGTCAATAGGTGCCATGAAACTCAGTAGCTTGCTAAGGACATGAAACCTAAGTAAAACAGGAAGTAAACAGGCAGTAACATTAGTAACTATTAACCTAAAGGAGGAAAGCACATTCTATGCATTCACAAACTCCTGAACAAGTCACAGGAACATTTTGCTGCAGCGTGGAAGAGGGGAAAACTCATAGATAGGCACTTACCACTCACAGTTATAGTCAGTCATCTCTTGGTACTCGTGGGGGGTTGGTTCTAGGACTCCCCATCAATACTAAAATTCATGGATGCTCAGGTTTTTTATAGAAAATGGCATAGGATTTGTCTACAACCTATGCACATACTTCCATATACTTTAATTTATCTCTAGACTATGTATAATACTAAATACAATGTAAATGCTATAAAAATAGTTGTCATAGTATATTGTTTTGAGAATAATGAGAAGAAAAAAGTGTGTACATGTTCGGTCTAGACACATTCATCCTTTCTTTTCCTCTTCCCAAAAATTTTCGATCCTCAGTTGGGGTGAATCCATGGACGTGGAACCCGTGGATACAAAGGGCCAGGTGTACATTATCCCCCCTTTCCATAATGCTACAGGAGAAAAGTCTGAAAAATGACAGATAAACACAGATCCATTCATATCGCAGCCCCTAAAATGAATACACACTTAAGCCTTTGAGCAACCTACAACAGGGACCCCCAGAAAACCCAGGATTATCTTTGGAAGGCAGGCCCTTATAGTACAGGCTTCCTCCGCTAGGAAAGTGTTCTAGGAACCCACTGGCATCAATGTACCAGCTAGCATTGTTGGGAGAGGCTATATTCAGCTTCAGTGAATTTTTTTTGGAGATGCTTTCAATGAGTTTGCCCATTTCATGATGGGTGATTTACAAGTGCGCCTGCCCTCAACTTACTGAGTGTTCCAGTAGTTTATGATCAGTTTATGGCCAAAATTGGCATGACCCCTGTGCCCCACCCTCCCTATTCACTCAGTCTCACCCCGAGCGACTTTTACTTTCCCCAGATGAAAAATCCTTACAGGGAATTGTTTTGCCGATGTGGAAAAGATAAAACAAAAAATGGCATTAGCACTACAAGGCATCAAAATTGACAAGTTCAGAAACTGTTTTGAGCAATGGAAAAAGCGTCTCAATAGGTATACTACATCAGAGAGTACTCTGAAGGTGACTTAAGTTTAAACATGTAAAGAATAAACAAACAATTTTTAATAAAATAAATTGCTTTTTTTTTGGTTCCCCCATCATACAACCCTTGAACATTATTCCAAACTAAAGACAGTGAGGACTTGATTACCCCATTTTCCTCCTCTTTGTACATCTTAATTATTTTTTAGTGTCATCAAAGCTAGCTACTGGCAGTGACACATGTAGTAGTATAACATGAGAATGCAATGCCTCACCAGTACCATCACTCACTGGGTACCTAAGTCAGAAAAGGCTTCTACAATGCCACATCATTTCCACTCACTAGCTCCACTGGGTCTTTCATTACCCCATCTTTAAATGAAGGAGCACAACAGAGTTCACAGCAAGTCTGAGTTCTAGGTCTCCAGTCGAGGCACTACAGAAATTCCACCTATATTTTCTACCAACTGGAAAAAAGATTATTTCTGTATGAAGTATGTTGAGATTCCCCAGTCAAACAGCAATTACTTAGCATTATAAGCACTGCCCCATAAATAATTTCTAAATGACTGCATATAATACCAGGAGCAGTAGTCCCATAATATGTTTGCATATTTTGAACATTTACATTGCTCCAAATTCTTTGCTTTTTATAAAATAAAACAAAAACTTCTATGCATCATACTTGTATTTCTTAAATAAAATGTCTGCTTGTTACCTTTTTATTATAAAAATTAATATAATAATTTTTTAAGTTTCTGTGTACATATTATGGAGTACATGTAATATTTTGATACATGCACACAATGGGTAATGATGAAATCAAGGTCATTGGAATACTCATCATATCAAATTGTTATCATTTCTTTGTGTTAAGGACATTCTAAATTTTCTCTTTTAGCTATTTTGAAATATACAATAAATTACTGATGACCATAATTACCCTGCTGTGCTACTGAACACTATCACTTATATTTCTTCTAACTGTTTTTTTGTACCAATTAGCCAACTTCTCTTCCTTCCCCACCCTATCCTCTGGTAACCACCAAAAAGTTAACACATAATTTTTTTTAAGAGAGTCTTCCTATGTTGCTTAGGCTGGATTCAAATTCCTGGACTCAGACGATCCACCTGCCTCAGACTCCCAAAAGCCAGGACTATGTAAGCACCACTGCTTACATAATGCTTATAAGAAGAATTCAAATGCAGAAATGCTTAGAGAACTGAAAGGTCTCCTTAATCCTATCCCCAAGTAATAATTATTGTTAATCAAAACAAATAAGTTTGGCTGTAGCATTTTCCATGCACAAACAGAAGTTTACTATATTTTTAACATAAAAATGGAGTTGCACTATACTTAATATTCTGTATTGTGCTTTTTTCCACTAAACCACATATCATATTTTACCATTTTTCATAGTTCATAGTTTCAGAGTATTCCATTGTGTCAATGTATTCTAATTTATTTATTCTTCCTTGGTGAGCATTTACATGTTCCCTCCTTTAAAAGTATATTAAACAATGCCAAAGTGAAGATTCTTGCAAATAAATTATTGCATGTATATTCACATTTTTCTGTGGAATACATTTTAAGATGTGAAACTGCTGAACTGAAAGGTATGCATATTTAAAATTGAAAGACTGGGCCGGGCTCGGTGGCTCAGCCTTAATCCCAGCACTTTGGGAGACTGAGTCGAGTAGATTGCCTAAACCTGCGGGTTCGACACCAGCCCAGGCAACTTGGCGAGACCTCATCTCTACAATAAATCAAAAATTAGCCAGGCATGGTAACGCACACCTATAGTCCCGACTACTTGGAAGGCTGAGGCGAAAGGATCACCAGAGCCCAACAGGCCAACGCTGGGGTGGCCGTGAGTGTGCCACTGCACTCCAGCCTGGATGACAGGGTGAGACACCAACTAAATAAATAAATAAATAATATTGAAAGGCTGAGTCTAAGTGCCCTCTCCCAATATTTACATAACACGTTAATTGAAATATAAGGCATAAATACTGTTAATTAAATATAAATTTTGGTGACTGCAGGCTTCACCAAATTTCAGTGTCCACCTGAAAATATGAATACTATTCTTGGCTGTGCAGAGACAGGTTTAACTCACTTTCCAGGCAAAGACTATGCACCATACCCTATAGTGTTGTCCAATATAGCAGCTGCTAGCCACATGTGGCTACTGAGCATCTGAAACATGGCGGTGGGAATTGAGATGTACCATCATTAAGGTACATACCAGATTTTCAAGACTTGGGACAAAAACTGAAAATATGTCAATAATTCTAAGTGATAAATTGTTGAAATAACATTTTTGATATCTTGGGTTAAATAAAATATATTATTAAAGTGAAGCTCACCTGTTTCTTTTTACTTTTTTTAAGTGGCTTTAAAATTACATATATATTACACGTTTTTATTAGATGGCGCTGCCTTGTAGAATATCTTTACATTTTAATACAATGTTTTCAATAACTATTAGCTACATAATGAAAGACAGGCTTTGTGAAGTAAACAGATTAAAGATGATTTAGCAATGTGTACTAAATGCAATGTAGTCATCTAATCTCTGTGCCACCGAAAATGGGATCATTTGTTTTCATATGAGAACACCTTTCACCAATCATACTAAGAAAAGATAATAATTTTGTTGTGGGTCAGGTAATTTTGTTATGGGTCAGGCACAGTGGCTCACGCCTGTAATCCCAGCTCTCTGGGAGGCCAAGACAAGTGGATTGCTTGAGTTCAAAACCAGCTTAAGTAAAATAGCAAGACTTCATCTCTATAAAAAAAAAAAAAAAAGCCAAATGTGGTGGTGCATACCTGTGGTCCCAGCTACTCAGAAGACTGAGGCAGAAAGAGTACCTGAGCCCAGAAGCTGGAGTCTGTGGTGAGTCATGATCATGCCACTGCACTCCAGCCTGGGTGACAGAGTGAGACCATGCCACCAAAAAAAAAAAAAACTGTGCTGGAACAACAAACCAACATAGTAAGACATCACACCATTAAAGGTCTGAAAGTTTAATCCATTTACATTATGATTTCTAATTAAACCACAATTAAATCCACTTATATATAATGCCATATAAAATACTGATAATCAATCATTATCGCTGTATTTCCAAAAACCAAAATATTTTATTTTTTTAAATAAGTTATTTTCTAGCACCCAATTAGCAAGCTGCTATGCCCAGTCTGACTAGGCCATCATTTAAACAAATGACCTGTTGTTATTTAAACTGTTTCCGCAAGGTAATCTTCCACAAGTTAATCTTTGCTATAACATTTCTGGAAGTCTTATCTTTACAGCCCTATCCAAACAAAGAGCAAAAATTACTCAATGGTGGGACTTACTATCAGTGACGACAGCTGGCACACTCTGCAGTCTATTTAAGAAAGTTATTTATACTCTTCTCGTCTAGCCTAGGCCACTTGGTTTAATCGTTTAGGGCAGGATGCTAATATAGTCAAGGTGTCATTTTGGTGGCTGTATAAGTCAGTTGGTCCTACCAGTGAAACAACTCAACAACCAGAGGTTAGAAGAATAGGCTCTGCAGACAGACCAATCAGTTCAAATCCTAGTTTGCTACTTACTGGCTCTGTAATGCTGGGTAGATTACTTTACATGAATTAGCTCATTTAATCTACATAACAACTATGAGATGTGACTTCTATTATTATAGTCTTCTCACAGATGAGGAAATTGAAGTACTAAGATGTAAGGGAAATTGCCCAAAGTCTCAAGGTCAATAAATGAAAGAGTCAGATTTCAAACCTTGACGTTTTGGTTGGCACAGTGGCTCACACCTGTAATCCCAGCACTTTGGGAGGCCTAGGCAGGATTGCTTGAGGTCAGGAATTCAAGACTAGCCTGGGCAATATAGTGAGATCCTCATCCCTAAAAACAAACTTTAAAACATTAGCCAGGCATGGTGGTGTAATCCCAGCTACTCAGAAGGCCGAAGCAGAAGGATCCCTTGAGCTCAGGAGTCCAGGGTTGAAGTGAGCTATGATCTTCCCACTGTACTCTAGCCTAGGCAACAGAGTGAGACCCAATCTCAAAAAAGCAAATGAAGAGACTAAAACCTAGACAGTTTGGCTCCAGAGCCTGTGCTCACTCTGCCTCTGCATGTGAACTGCTTAACAATGCCTGACCTGTAAGTTCTATGAATATTAGTTGCTAGCATTTACTGCTATGAGTAAATGATTCTCTGATTCTGATCACATCCCTCACATGTATTGTCACAAGGAGAGTCAGATGAGTACAGATGACACCACCAAAAACAATTCCCGCGTATGTATGACCTTATTTATGACTTTTAAAATCTTTTTATTTTGCAATAATTTTAGACTTCTAAGACCCTATAATATACTTAGTTGTGATGTCTCCTTAGTCTCCTGCAATCTGTGACAGCTCCTCAATCTTCCCTGTTTTTTCATTACCTTGACACTTGGCAAGTACTGACCAGGTATTTTGTAGTGTGCTTCACAATCTGGATACATGTGCCGCTGTATGATGAGATTGAGGTTAGGCATTTTTGGCAAGATACCAAAGAGATGCCGTTGTGCCCTTCTACTAAAGACAGAGGGGTGTAGTTACATCTTACTACTGGTATTGCTAATCTTTAACACTTGATTAAGGTGGCATCTGCTGGGTTTCTCCATTAGTGTGTTACCCTTTGTAATTAATTAATACATATCTTAGGAGAGATGTTTTGAAACCATGAGAAATGGGAAATGGTGTATTTATACCATTTCTCCTAAAACCTTTGCTGATTAATTTTAGCATGAATTGGTGAATCTTGTCTACAAAAATTATTACTGTGGGCTTTGCCTAGTGGTAATTTTCTATTTCTCATTCCCATTCTAATTCTCTCACTGGAATTATGCATGACCTTTTGACGGTATATCAACTGGACTCCAAAACACTTTTATGAAACAAACCAAAGTGGTAAAAGATTATGTAAAAATTCTATAGGCCTTTCAAGTATGGAAAGCCCTTTCGTTGTGGTTTCTTGACTTCTGCAGTAACCAAAAGTACCTCATATGCAGAAATGTGATCACAGATAAACTGATCCCACCCTACGTGACTTCTCTGACGCATCAAGCATTTCTAAGCTATTTGCCACACTAGAAGAATGCTTACTCCTCCAACACTCATGTAGAGTTCTCAATATTTTTAAGGTTATATATTTACAGTTATAGTCATTTTAACTTTACTATCATAATCATCCACATTTTCTGGCTAATGTCCACAAGGCATTATAGTAGATAATATGTCTGGAATTGTCTTAAAAAATAAGGTAGTACAATCTTGACCTCAAAGGGTACATAATATAGCTATGTGCCCCAACACTTCTAAAAGTCATAAAAATACAATAATGTAGAAAAGGTATTTTTTCTCTCAATTATCCTGAAGAACATATATTTGCAAGAGCAATGTCAATAAACATGAGAGTAACTAAAGAAACTAACATTTTTGAATTTATACTATGTATCAGATATTTACACATTTCATTTAATTTCCACACAAAATCTATAAAGCAGGGATTATTATCTCTACTTAGCAAATAAGAAATGTGAAGCCCAGAGAATAAAGAACAGTCAAAATCAAACAGCCAGACAGAGCTAGAATTTGAACCCAAGTTTCTTGAAATCCCGAGCTCCTCCCTCCATAGAACATTTATGACCTAATAATTTTATAAGCAGAGTACTAGAGAAAAATCTAATGCCAAAATTAAAGAATAAGGTAATCTTCAGGCTGGTCACTTATTTATTTTATTTTAATCAATTAATTACTTTACTTACTTATTTTTAGAGACAGGGTTTCTCACTCTGTCACCAGGTTAGAATGCAGTAGTGTGACCACAGTTCACTGCAGCTTCCAATTCCTGGGCTCAAGCAATCCTCCTGCTTCAGCCTCCCAAAGCACTGGGGTTACAAGTGTAAGCCACAATGCTCGGCCCAGCATAGTCATTTATAAAGTACTATCAGTAAAATTCTTCAAGTCCTTGGAGAGCGGTATGGGCGAGACAGGTACAGAAGAGGCTTGTGTGTAAGAAAGTAAATGAACACTAGGGAAGGGGAGACTTGCCCAGCCTTGGAATACTAATAGCAATAATAATTACAGTAATAATGGTAACAAATACTTATATCATGCTTACTATGTACAGGGAACTATACTAAGAAAGTGGTACATATACTACTACTCATTGAATACTCACAGCATCCCTTCAAGGCTGGTACTGTTATCACCTTCATTTTATAGATAAAGAAGCCAAACTAGCAAAGAGAGTTTAAGGGTTTTGACCAAAGTAACTACTAATTAATGTCAAAGATGAGATTCGAATTCAGGCAGTCTGGCTCTTAAGTCCATGCTCTTAATTACTATACTAAAAGTGAACCTGAAGTATAAAGATTCGAAAATCTCAACACAGAAAAACAATTAAACAAATTATAACAATTTAACTTGAGATTTAAGAAAAGTGGCTCCAAATAAAAAGATGATTTTTAAAAAGCCAAAAATTTTGAATTTCTGTAAATAAGAAAGATAAGTATTTCCTGATGAGTTTTGTTAATTATTAAATACTACAACAAATTAACTAAAGTAATTGTGAAATCTATTTCTCTGAAGATCTTTAAAAATGAGATGGACTCACATTTGTCTAAAGGGCATGTAATGACAGGTAGGCTCTAATAAGGATGTGGTATTAGCTTATCTGTCTAAAACTGTCCTAACACAATGAGTTTAGGATTTTCTTTTAGTGTGCACCTGAATTACAAGCAGTTGCTTTCACACCAAGACCCTGTGTGATATTATGTCTCATACACACACATACACACCATTACCAAGTCTAAAAGTATAGCAGTGTCAATTCTGACTCTTGCTCCTTCTTTTGTCTATATCCTTATAAGATTCCTTAAAAGTTCAAAGGGTGGAAGGTTTTCCTGAAGTCAGAAATATCTCAATTTTCTCATAAAAATTTGATTTCTCATCTCACTTAAGCAAACCATTTACATTTTTTGCAGTCCTTCATTTATATCTTTTTAGCATACTGTGTACACATATGAAATCATGAAAATGGACCATCAATTCTAAATAAGAGAATAAAATGACTTATTCTATAGAAACCACTTGTTTAAGTTAAAATAATTTCTATCTTACTTCTGTTTTCTTATTATAGTGAAATGCAAATATTATTTCATCCATCCATTCAATAACAATAAAACTAAAAGTCGGTAAAATTATATTTCCATTTTAGAGTAAGAAACATTTGAGTCGCAAAAAATCCTTCAAATACAATTTTGGTTATTTTTCTAATCCTTAGAAACATCAGAATCATCAGAAGAAAAGGAAGAAAAAGAAAAATGACATAGCCAAAATGCCAGAGAAGAGATACAACACATGTTAAAACTTTTTCCAAAAAGTAACTCACCGAAGTTTCCTTCCTTTGCTGGCTTTCCTATCTACTTTCTTGTGGATTTTGCTTCGTAACTTCTGGATTGCAAGCCACTGTCTGGGAAATACGCAAGCAACATTTTGCATTATCACTAACAGAAACAGTTATATGTATTGACAAATTGAAATTTTTCTCACTAACAACCCTGCAGAAAGAAATCATAAACCTACATCAAGTTCCTCGAGTTAGTTTGGGGCCAAGGCAGCTAATCAATTGAAGAGGATTTGTGCAAAGGTTTAAAAAAAAAAAAAAAAAAACCAACAACAACAAATGGCAGCAGGGAAATACTACAGCAAATTTGGTTAAAAATGCTCCTTAGTTTTTGAAGTTGTTGTTGACAAACACTAAATCTACCAGTCTGCAGGAAAACCAATCAAAATGAGTATAGCTGCTTGGGCTTTCTTTTAATGTTTTAGCTATGCAGCATGTTCTACTACTAATGTCGCAACTGCTCGTTGGCTTGAATATATGAATTCTTTAAATTTAACTTTCCCTTTAGTAATAAGCAAGTGCTTTTTCTTATGCTTTCCAGTGTTTGCTACTTTGTATCATAATTACCCATTACTGATACTACCTTTAGTCATTTTCATGTCATGTATAAATATTTTGGCATCTTTTACTAAAAGACAAGGACTCTTTTCCTCCCAACATAATCTCAATAACATCATCACATTTAAAAAACAACAACAATTATTATCAATTATTCAGTCTTCAAATTTTCCAGAATGTCTCAATTTTACAGTTGGGGTATATGAATCAGGATCCAAACAAGATTCATAAATTCTGCAGTCAATTTAGATAAGAAGGAATTAACTTTTTAGTGAGGGACACTAGGCTAAGAAAATCTTCATAAATTGTTCATATGAACAAATGTGAAAAAAAGAAAGAGAAGAAGAAATAGCAGCAGCAGCTAGTCATCTTACCTGATTTATACAATGAAGACTCAACATGGGGGGGAAAAAATCTAGGGAAATCCAATTACTGTAATCTTAATATAATCTTAATTACCATAATCTATTTTATTGTAAAGTCAGATAAATGTACAATATAATCACCACTTAAATGCAATTTGCTCTATCACATTAAATTTATAGTGAACAGCTCTCTATAACATTCCAGTGATAAACGGAGTATCAACAACATCCCACCCTAAAATTCAAATAATATTTTACTCAAATAAAATTATTTCATCAATGCTTTCTTGAAATGCTGCTCTGCCCAGAATCCCATTCTGGCACTTGCAGCTTTTGTTTCCTTTCATGCTTTTGCAAATTATGGCTCATGGCTTTTTAAATGTACACTATTCATTAGGAAGCACTCTAAATGCCCCTTTTATTTTCCGACCACAGGAACTTCCTTCACTACTTTACATTCTACCCTAACATCTGGGTAATGCTGCCACCTTCCATTTCTAATTGTGCTGAAGCTTTTACTGAAGGGGTGGAGGTCTAAATTAGGGCAGATTCTAACAAAGCAGATTCAATGAGGAGCAAGGAACCTGTTGTACATAGTGCCATGTTCTGACAGCTGAGAACACACATTTGGGTAACTGCTTTTTATCCTCTGGTCAACAGACTGATATGGATACAATCACAACCCCAACCAGAGAGCAAAGAGCAAAGGAAAGACTTTGTAAAACAATCCCTAAAACAAACGCATAGTGTTTCATAATCTCTTTTCAAATTGCATTTACAGCAATGTAACAATTACTGTGTCTTACTAGCCTTTATTATCTTGCTTAATTTTGATAATTTTAGGGCCAATCACTGTTTTGGAGGTAGAATTAAGAGGACCCAAGGGGAGAAACTATTATATAGTCTGCTTGCATGAATAGAAAGCCATATCTAAATTACCTTCCCATGGCCACCTGATCGTTGGGATCCAAGGAGCTTGTCTTGCGTTCTATGAGTTCTCGAAGGAGCTAGGGAAAAAAGGAAAGCAACTGATTAATTTATCATCTCCTGTGCCAACTGACTTTAAAAGGGCACAGAAGGAATTCTGAATGGCATAGTGACAGCTCTGAAACTACAATCAATAAGGACAACCCAGTGGCAAGAGCATGACTGAATTCCACTAACCCTTTCATATTTATATATATATAAAAAGGTGATTATAGCAATAGCTGAGAAAAGAAGTTCATTTGGAGGACTTATTGTACTGCAGTTCATTTCAAATGGATCAATGAGTATACAACAATCCCTTCATTGTTTTTATGATTAGTTTTGTCTACCCCATCGGTATCGATGGAGAATCTTTAAAAGGTCAGATGGGAAGGGCTATGTGCAAAAAGGGAGATACATCACCAACAGGATAATGGTGCAAGGTTAACTTCTGAACTATAACTTCAAGCAGTCAGAAAGGTCTTCCTCAGGCAAAGACTTTATTGTATACAATTAAAAGTGTGGACTCCATCCTCCAGCTTTCCATAGCTGCCATTCTACCATGCTTGCTACTAAGTGATTTAACCACACATGACACCAACACACTCACAGCCACAACAACTTTAAGAGGGAACCTAAAGAAAGTCATTTGTGTATGCTGCAAATATAACACAGAGGACCAGGCTCTCATCTCACACAATTTCATGGGAGTTACTCTAAATGACTCTCCTACTGTCTTCTTAATCCTTACTCCACTGCATCTCATCAAAATCTAAATCTATACCTTTCAAACAGACTTAAGAATTTGCACTAGATCGTAAAGTCCAAGGTGATGAGAAGCAATAGATTTAAAAGTTAAATATTAAAGGAGGAAAATCCTAAATTACAATAAACTATAAGACTATAAGTGCTATATGCAGAGAAACAGCAAGAGATTAAAATTCCAAAAATCTGAGAAAAATCTAAGGGAAGATGCTAAAATAAACTAGTTCCTGCTAATCATCTGTCAATAATGCAGATGTAACTTTAAAACTTGTGTCTTCACAAAAATTAGCAATTATTTTGTAGGTGAGGCGTCGTGGTAGCAATACAGTTACTTCACCAAGTAAAACAGCTGAAGCCTGTGGGAACACGAAGAAGGAGGAATAAATTCCTCTGAAAGTAGTTTACTTTCTAATTTTCATTTGTTTTTGTAACTAGGTGCTAGAAGAAGTAAAACAAGTTTAGAAAAATATTCACTTCCAAAAGATGAATCTTTACGCAAAAGTGAAAAAAAGGACATCTCAATCACAATTACAAAACCTCCTGTGTTTTTCATTTGCTTATTTTGGGCATTACTACCACAGCAATTATGTTTTAAAATGCGGGGACCAGAAGCCACTGGTTTATTATCACTAGAAAACAGCAAGCTATTTCTCTACCCTGTTTATCTGATTGATTCCCAACATCTTTCTGGCAGCCAATCTATCAGTTTATCTCTCCTACTTCATCACAGTCATTTCTGGCAGCTTAAAACAAGATCCAAATCCAGTGTTACACAGACATACGACATAGTAAACCTATGTAACATTGTTGCTGTGTAAACAGCTGCCCTTAAGGCTAAGCAAAAATGGGCTTCTGGTTCCTAGTCAATATTCTGTCAAAAGCAAGGTTGGGGAGAGAGGTTAATAAAAAGAAGAGAAAGAGAAAAATAAAAAGGAAGGAAAACAACAGAATGACTGACTGCATTTCATTGCCCTTACCGTGTTCCAGTCACACAACAGATTACAACAATGAATCCTGGTTTTCTTAATCATCTTAGGTCCCTTGAGACTGGGGCAGTCATGGCCACTGGGGAGCAAGAGCTCATGGAAGGCTTCCCCGGCACAACAGGTGATCCTCTGGAAGTCAGCTCCATGTGCCCCTGCCAAAGGCTGAAAATTGGAGCCACACAACTGCAGTGGATCTACTACCCTTGCAGTGGTCTCTGCAATTCGAGCACCATGTTGGTGCAACATTTACTTTCAAGCACTCTGTGTACCCACACATTCTGGGCTGCATTTTCACTACACAAGTGTTTCGCATGGCTATTCTTTGTCATTCATAATTTAAAAGGTTGTTTTATTGGTCTATCTTGCTAAGTCTAGTTTATTCAGGTCAATATTTCAGAAGATTCTGCTGTGTTGAAGGTAAGAAAGCAACAACAACACAGTTACACAAACTATTCCCATGGCCATTATTATTTCCCACTATCACTGAGTTTAAATTTAACTAGGAAAATGGCTTTCAAAAAAGTTGCTGAAAATGAAGCTTTAGGGATACTGGCTTCTAAGTTCAATTCTTATAGCTTTAACTTCATGGACAAACTTTTCCACTAAACTTCAAGTTCCTGTTATTTATTAGAGCTTTTTAACAATAATATAATTTTTGTAGTAATTTTCCATGTGGCTCAGAAAATGGAGATGCATAAAATATTTTTGTTCTAGTTTGCTACAATTCCTCCAGATAATCAATTCAGAAAGGTTTGACTGTATCTTTAGTTCTAGGGGAAAACCACAGATGTAGGTAGGTTTTCAGGTCAGTCACAAAAACCTATCCAACCCATAACAAATAAGAGGAATGGCACTGACAGTACTATTCAGCATCTATAATATTTTCACTAGAAAAATACATGCCAGAATCAGTTAAAAATGGGAGACCGACACATTAGTTTATCTCATCACCCGTCTCAATCCCTCTAAAAGACTACAGAGGAATAAAATGAATGTATTAACCCATGAGAGAAAAGAGAAAGGGAGAGCTACTGTGAGCATATTTTCATACAATTGTCTAAAAGGAAGTTATTACCCAAGTGCACAGAGGGAATAAAGGTGAGGGTGAAGCCGATTATGTTAGGCCACAGAACCCCTGTGAGGATCAGCTGAGTGGCAGTTACCATGCAATGTAGGAGAAAGGGGAAGCTTGAGACTTCTTCATTATCCCAATTACCCCACACAGTCAAGTGACTGAGCACCTCTACCACCTCCTCTCACTAAGAGAAATTTTATTTTTTGGAAAAACGGAACCAAAAAAGCTACAGAGTGTAATACCAGGCACGGAAGTCTGAAATGGGGTACCAGGAAAAAGTTCTATGCTAGTATCTGAAAACTGCTGTTCCTTTTCCCCAACCTATTTATAAAAAAACTAACAGCCAAGTATATGATTTCCTAGGCAGGAAAGCAGAGTCTTTTCTGGAGACACTGAATGGTTGACTCCTTATCCCCCAAAAATAAGATTTCCAAGTCACTACAGTCTTCTGAATATGTCCCCCAAAATCCATGTGTTGAAAACTTAATCTCCAATGCAACAATATTGGGAGGTATGACCTTTGGGAAGTGATTGAGTCATGAGGCTCCGTCCTCATGAATGGGATTAGGGTTGATTTCCTCACATTCACTCTTGTCTCTCTTCCATTTTGTCCTCTTCATTGTAGTAAAAGTAATATTTTCAAAATGCAAACGTGTCAGGACATTTGTCTGGATACCACGAGGTCCTGTCCACCTCTCCAACCTAGCCTAACCTTCTGCCTCTATACTCCAGTCCCACCAGGCTTCATTCTATACCTGAAATGCTACGTAGACACTCTCCCCACAGAGCCACTTTTTGTGCACATACTACCCAGAGCAGGCTTCCTAGCCACTTACCTCCTTACCTCCCACTCCTTCTCTACATATTCATTAAATGTCAGTTTGACCATCTCTTCCTCGGGGAAACCTTTCTTACCACACACACCACAAACATGCATTATGTCTTTGTTGTACTTACTGTATATTTTATTCATGGATTACTGATTGCTGTCTATTTCCTTCACTAGCTGACTGTATGACTATATGCTTCACCAAGAATGGAGACTCTATCTGAATATACTCACCAGTCTACCCCCTGTGTGGGCCAGTTAAGTAGCTCAAGAAATATATACAGAGGGAAATAATTATTTCTGGTAGAAAATACCATTGTAGTTTGCTTTATCATTCACACACACCTACACCTTTTTAGTATTTTTTTTTTTTTAATTGGAATCTCACTCTGTCGCCCAGACTGGAGGGCAGTGGCTGTTCCCGGCCACCGCAGCCTCGACCTGCTGGGCTCCGGCAATCCTTCCGCCTCAGCCTTCCAAGTAGCCGGAATTACAGGCATGCGCTACCACGCCCAGCTGATTTTTTGATTTATTGTAGAGATGAAGTCTCGCTGCCCAGGCAGGTCTCAAACCCATGGGCTCAGGCAATCCACTCACCTCAGCCTCCCAAAGGCATGGGATTACAGGCTGAGCCACCAAGCCCGGCTTTTTTAGTATTTTTAAACAAAAGGAATTAATATATAATAGCCTGACTCTAATACAGAGTACTACTACTATCTGCACTTTTTATCATTGCCATTATCAATAATACCTCTTCCCCAATGATATTCTCCTTCTCATATATCTAACACAGGCCAGATGGCCTATTTAACAAACCTGGATGGTTTGTTTTAAGTAGGTGAGAATGACCCTTTTTTTAAAAAAAAGAAAAGAAACCATCCTTAAGAGTACTTGAATTAAAAACAAAAACAAAACATTATTTAATCCAAGTGAATTAAAAATTTTAAAATACTTCTCATTCTTTTACTATTAAAATGATAAAGATTATCCTCTCTCGGGTACTTTTCTCAAAGGAAGAAGCTGGTTCTCCTCAGGAAAAGAGGAGAAGGAATAGATCCTTGGTGCTTCCTCTACACCTCCAGCCCCTCTCCTTGACCTTTTCTGTAGCACCTTTTACTGCCAGGTACCTTGACATCTCAGTAAAAAAGGTGTGAATTAATTCCAGTTACAGTGTTTTCTATTTAAATCTCTTTTATTTATTAAACAGATTTTCCAAGTATCAGTTGCAGATCTCCATCTCTCGTTTTCTAAGATCTAATGCTTCTAGGTATGAGCTTCCAGTTATGTGAAATGTGTGCTGCACAGTTCAAAGTAACAATAAATATTTGCCAAAGAGTCTGACATAGCTGAGTCTTGAATTCCAGCTCTGCCCCTAACTAGCTGTGC